TCCAAAATTGAGCCTGAATCTTTGATTTGGGGCTAATGGGCTATTTCCCAATTGGGGTACACACCACATGTGGCCGGCCTAGAGCTGGGTGGTTGAGCAGTTTACTTGTTTTGGCACGACCATTTGGGACACTTTGGTCGACCAATGATGCTACTACGCATCTCCTTACCCAAAGTAAGGATCTTGTGCCTACAAGCACACTTGCCAAAGCCCACTCATTTGGAAAATTTGATTTTCTAAATCATCCCTCACAAAGATACGGAACGACTCTCTTTTCACAGTGGATTTAAAGGAATATATGTGGACTAATCCAACCAAAATGCGGACCATATAAATACTTATGGTTTTGGTTGATAAATCAACAAACTAGTCACATGTTTGTTCACATACATTGCTACTAAACCTTCTGGCTGATTAAGGGTTCACCACCCTACTTATCCCATACGGTTTGGGAGACTAGATAATGCCGAAGAGTTTATATCGACGTTTTTTTTATAAAGTATTGCATGTCATTTTGGGTTTCTAATTGAACATTGAATTCTCATGATCACCCCAAATAGCCTCGCTTAGTGATCATAAAGCGCAATTTAAATGATCGCCTAGATTTTGGTAAATGTACCAAGTTTTCGATTTCTGCCTAGGGCTATGCAAACTTATATGCAGTTATGTTGGTCTGCCTTGAGGCCCATTGCCACCTAACCATTTTGACGTTACAGTTGGTTACTAGGTATGAACCTAACGTTTTTTGTATTTACAAATTTGGGTGTACATTTCATTTGCCAAGTTGCGCTGCTGCAACGTACCAACATTGGTCTTCAAAGAAGGACGTGAATCTTTGTCGATCATGATTCTCCTTCATACTAGCTTTCTTAGAGCCCTTGCATGTGACCTCTTTACTGCTCATTTGTGGGTTGTCACTTTAATGAGACAGTTTTCCGCCGTTAAGGGGAGATAAGAACGTCAACGTTCCTGTAGAACGAAACGAATTTTCATGGACAATGCCTACTATGTCTCATCTCGATCCCCATACCGCATAAGTATGATAAGCAAGTACGATGAATTCTAGATTTCAGAATATTGCTCCAGATGCATTCCTCTAATCTAACTAAAGTGACAAGATCATATACCAACTGCAAACATGCCTGCAAGGATAGATGTACTTAACAGAAGTCGAGTCAACATCCACGAAGGGTGTGCCGCCCACGTTGGATGGTTTGGATACTCCTGTTGGACGGTTCGGTACACTGCTAGATAGCCAATCAATCTGTCTTGGCCTAGAGCACGACAGATCACTCGGTTCGTAGGATTCACTTCTTTAGAAGAGGAAGACATGGCACAACAATGAATCCATACTCGATCGCTATCTCAAATCATTTCCATCTCATAAGATCAATCTGGATTACTCCCAAGACTTGAAGTTCTTGGTCCAGTATACTAGTTTAGGTGAACTAAATGGAATTGAAATGAGACTACCATCGATGATGTTTTCACTTATATGGTAGCTACCGACATAAATGAAAAGCAACAATATCAAACCGTGTTCCGTTGATTAAGTGACAACGTAGAACTAATTAGACAACCGAAATTACAATCCAGGTCAAATTCCTTACCAAAGTGTGTTTTGGACATGTTGTTCTTACACTGCCCAAGGTAACCCTGTTATGTTACAAGTGGGAAATGCAGCATTATAAGATGAATGAAATAATGCGATGTGATGCATGCCTTACGGCACAAGGTTTCTCTCAAAATGTCATGTGATTAATAGCAACATTATGAAATGTGGTTAGCGTTTTCTCTATGGAGATATTAATATGGAGATTTACATGTAAGTTCCCGAAGAATTACATGGACTGGTTCAAATAGTTCCAAAACCATGGAACACCCTCTTAACTTGTTTGAGGCATTCACTAACAATTCGACGAATGTGGTATACCCGTCCAAGTGATTATTTGATCAATCAAGGATGAATTATGCCCTTGCGTGTTAAACTATGAAGTCTTATTTCGAATTGCTAGAGTTACAGTTTATGTCGTTGACACGAATCTCACTAAGACTCCGGAAGAGCTTAAGAAAACTGTCTCGCAACTGAAGATGAAATTTGAGATGAAGGATCTTAGGAAAACTTGTTTATACCTTGACCTGAAGTTCAAGCATTATTCTGACTGTATTTTGGTCTACCAATCGAACTACACCCCGAATGTGTCACATTTGAGTATACCTTTGATCGTCTATACATTATATGAAAATGAGACCCTTGAAGAGGTTATGGAATCCGAAATTCCATATCTAAGTTCAACTTTGCGCTTCATTATACTTAGCTCATTGTATTAAGACAGGACATCTCATTCGCTGTTGAAATACAACACCACGCCTACACGCAACCACTGAATTGGTATTAAAGACGTTCCCTAAAGGTATTACGAATTTGGGCAAATCCCAATGCATCTTAGCGGAGTCAACCCCTGATCCTTGAAATGATGCTTGCCTTGTTCTTATGCTAATGCATGTTACTTATCAAACCCACACAAGGCAAAATCCACATATGGTTATGTCTTTAACGTTAGGGATATCGCAATATCTTGGAGGTCCATGATATGACCTTAGTTGCGAAATATTCGAATCATTGCAAGACTCACCTTACTTTACTATGCCACAAGTGAGACATGGTTAGAAGTTCTTGTTAAGCATATTCAAAATACTTGCTATATTTTCATCCATCATTGAGTCCTGACGACGATCCATGAATATTATGCCGCATGTATCCACCTGGACAAGCCATGATACATCAACGAAGTTAACCCTAAGACATATTATGTCTACATCACATGAGCAAAGCATCAAGAGATTGAAGTCATGCAAGCCGATCCTAAATAACCTTGTCGACCTTTACACAACGTCACTGCCAAAGTCAACCTTCTAGAAGTTTGTCCGAGGAATTAGTATGCCTAACTATTCATATACAATGCTTGTAGTTCTCATTTGGAAGTTATGTCAAACTCAGGGGGGAGTATCCAGAAGTATACTCACTTGATCTTAATGTACTTTTTTTCCTTACAATTAGGAGCATTTTTTCCACTGGGTTTTTGCTACCTAATTAGGTTTTAACGAGGCAACCATCCTGGGATGATCATACCCTTGAGAGTTATTATACTTGCGTCCAAAAGACGTATAGTTTTGACTTAATGCAACTTCTCACTTTTCTCCTTAGACTATGGGTTTTTCTCCCACCTTGGGTTTTACCATAGTGAGGTTTTGTGAGTTTTTTTTTTATTTTTTATTTTTATGCATTCTTCCGTTGATTTGAGACTCGCATTTGCTCATTGTGCCAACGACTTCATCAACTATACTTACTTCATCGCTGAAGACCTGATGTGTCATCTGTTTGAGTATTTACACACTCAAGGGGGAGTGTTGCAGTCCTATTGGAATAGGAATGTAATTGTGTAAATCCTAACATATCTAGGGATATCTTTTATATTCCCTTTCGTAGTTAATATCCTATTAAGAGTTGTAATCCTAAAAGGGTAAGAAATTAACCTTTCTTACTATTATAAATAAGGGCATAATGGAATGGAATAGAACACACCCACAATTACATATCTCTCTCTTCTCTCTACTATTGCTGCACCTTTCTCTCTCTCTATGGCCTCCATAATTGTTCAGTAAATTATGCCTATAACACTTGTTAATAAAAGAAATTAATAAAACAGTTCCTCAATGATCATACAAATTAATCAACAATTTTGAAGAACAGGAAGGGGAAACCGAAGTAAAAATGATTTCCTAAGTGGGTGGAGGGCATCACTTTCCCCTCTATTTTCCCATGGTCAAGGAAAATCGTTTCCCAAGCATACCCTTACCAAACATGAAAAATGCAACAATTTCCCATTACCAAGTTTAGTTTCCCACAAATCAAACGCACCGTAAAAGTAATTGTGCATTTAGTTTTAAAATCAAAGTTGAAGGGTTGAAAAGTCGAGCTAGAAGTTAAACTAGAGAGTAATGCTATAAAAGTCATTTTATTTGAATCGTACTCTTATATCATATGATGTATTGTTGACATATATTTGTCACGTTATTAAAGTTAATAATTGTAGATATCGTTTAGCCACTTAGTATTAAAGAGTAATATTTTCCTTCACTCGTTAGATAGCGAGTTCGATATATACAAATTATTATGATTAATTTATTGTCTGGCTCAATTCAAATTCTTTAATTTTAATATAATATTTCATTGTATGACAAAATTTTTAAAAAAAAAAAGTTGAAAATCTCCACGAATGATATGTTAGACACTTCAAAAAATTTATAAATGAATAGACCTTTGGTTTGAAAAAAAAAAAAAAAGAATTGTTGACCTAAAATTCAGGTGCCATGTATATTATAATTTGATGGATTAGGATTCTCTCCGGATCCTCTTTGTGGGGATTGTAGGAATCCTCATATCCTAGCCATTCATCATATATCATGCGGTTAGTTTTCGCTAGATACTATTTGTGTTTAATTTTAAATGAAAAATTCAAGTGATTTCTGATCGAACGATGTACGATGAAAAGTTAAGATGTGATAATCCATAAGATCTCTAAAATTTAGATACAGATGAATCCAAATCTTAATTTGATGACCTAAATTAATTTTTCTATATTAACTGCTTGTAATATGTCCACCACTTGTAAAAAAAAAAAATTAAAAGAAAACTAATGAAAATGGTTTGAAAACTTTGAGTTTTAATTAAAATGATAAAAAAATGTTGTAAGTGAATAGTACCAGAAGTGGCTTTTTAGAGTAAAAATGTCATTTTATTAAAAGTGAACAGTACCAAGAATGTTTTGTTAAAACTTTTCAAATTTAACAATTTGGTGTCATGTTATTAATCGACATGACATATAAATTAAAGAAAAAGTGTATTATATTGTTCTTACAAAAGTTCATTTGTGAATTATTTGAGAAAGTTTGTTTTTTTCTTCTTGTCTTAAATACTATTATTGGTACAGCACATAATAACGTAAGGAATCTCCGTGACTGCAATTGATGGACATCTTGGGAAGTTTGGAGGGCTTGGACGGTGGAAAGACGTCTGACTCGTGACTTTGTTCAATTGTCGCATATGGCAACGTCGGCAAGTTCGATTGTCATTAGGGTTAAGATCCCACTCACTCGCTGACTTAGGGTTTGTGGGGGTTGTCCCCAGTGATGGAGATCGACTGATCATACATTCATGCATGGTCACAATTATAGACAATTACAGACATCGCCTACCACTTCTAGGGAGAGCCACCTAAACCTTATCAGCTTCTTTTTCTTTTTCTCTGTCTTCCTAATGAGATCAAATGAGATCTTACCCAAAAATCAAAAGAGATTGAAGGAGATTTGAACCTCTGGCATGCACTTATACAAAAAGCTAAAACACATTCCATCGTTTATAGCTTTTTATAAAAATGTTAGTCTTACCACATTTTAAAATTATATTTGTGTCATTTTTTCAATAGAGATTAGACTCATATGTATTGGTAAGTTATATTTCTAATGTGGTATGAAAAAATGTGATAGTGTAACATCACTCAACATTTTAAGTTTTGAAGAAGTTTAAGATAATTTGTTAATTGTTTAATTCTAACCCTATTTTGAGGACATTTAAGAGGTTTAAGGCATTATGCATGTTTGTAATGTAATCGGTTATGGTTCAAAATATTGAGATTTTCTATGGTTGATTCCAGACTTCTTGTTCTTTGAACACTCACATTGATTAATCTTCTATTTGTCACGCTGTGTCAATTTTACATTCTGATTTAAGAGATTTTTCGATCTAGAACATTGTCATATGTGATACTACTCCATTCAAATTGTAACACGTGTACTTGTTTTTTTAATTATTAAAATACCTTAGAAGTGGACCGTGTGAACCTTATTATTTACTCATATTAACATGTGGAATAACACATCAACTCCCAAGTATATATTCCATAAACGCATAAAATGTAAATTATATGTAAATTTAAATAGTTCTGCATCTATTATGTTCTATAAAAAAGAATATGCTGAAAATTAACACAAGTGAAATATATAAGGGATGATATATATGGAAGTGGAACTAACCCACACAGAAATACAATAAATAATTACCCAAGTTGACTTTAGGATAAATATTCTTATCAGTTACATTTTGGCTTTTGCATGTTCAACTTGTCCTTCTTATCTTAATTAATATAAAACGCCAGCCATTCCCACATGTTTTCTCATGCCCATTGCCATCATCGCCCACCCTCTCTCTCCTCCTGTTTTTTTTTCTCAAGCAGTGCTGTGTAGATCCATTGAATACTTCATAAGAAGCAAAGGCATGGCGCACAAGTGTAATTTTATGACACAACTACTTATCTTTCTATGTTTTACATATGTCCTCTCATCAATTACTGCAGCTCCTACGACGAGTAAGCCTTTTATTTATTTATTTATTTATTTTAATTTTGAAATAACTGAAAAAATTACAAGATCCTCGACGAATGATATTTATGTCTCTTTTCCTTGGCTCTGGATAATATAGGAAGCCGGAAGATAAGTAAGGAAGACCTACCGAGTCAGAATTTGTTGGATGAAGGTGTCCTTGATTTGGGAGAAGGATTTGTGGAGGGGCGGATGGATCTGGAAACCAATGATTATTCAGAGGTAGGAGCAAATCCGGTGCATGATCCAAAACCCCCAGGAAGAATTTGAGCCTTACGGTGGGTTTTGGTTTTGAACTTTTGATCTGGTTGGGGTTTTCTTCGGTTGTATGTCCTCCATGTCCATACATGTAATAATTTAACATACAAGAATTATTTTTTTGGGTGATAAGAACAACGTGCTTGTTGAATACAATCTTTCTGGTTTTTGGTTGTTGTAATCTTCTTCTAATTATTTTATTAATTCTCCTTTATTATTTGTTGCTACTCCCACCTTCATATCATGTTTTCTCACTCTTTTGTTTTTGTTAGATGTTACAACTCCCCTAGTAATAATACATGTAACAAAATAAACCAAGGTGGATTGGATTCATTGCTCTTAAACCTAAGACTATCTCCAATCGACTAGGCCAAAGGATCATAGGGCTAAAAATACCTCTTTTGACATGAAAACAGTCTCCAACCGAGGGTTAGGCCAAAGGGCTTGTGAGCCCCACCCGGCCAAAAATGGGAGAACCAACCAAAGGGCTGGTCAAGAGCAGCCAGCCCGCTAGCCCTATAGCCCAGCCCGCCAGCCCCATAGCCCAGCCCAAGCACATGCTACCTGACATCATGCTGATGTCAGCTACCTGACATCATGTTGACATCAGCTACCTGACATCATGCTGACGTCAAGTTACTATTTGACTTTTTTTTTGGGGACAAAATAAAAAAAAAAATTCTAATTTTTTATTTTTATAAATACCTAAGCCATTTCTATCCCATTTCTCACATCCTTTTCACCATTCCATACTATCTTACCTCATTTTATTTCAATTCTTCACCAATTTTTCACATCATTTTCATTCTATAAAGATGAAATCCGAAGGCTTATTAATTTAGCGACAAGTGGCACTTAGAATATGTCCAAAAACCTTATTTTAAAATGGTAGTTGAATTCAATTAACCATATTAATTCAATTAAAAGAATAAATTATGTTTGGCCTATGGCCTTTTGGTCCCTTCGGTTGGAGATGATGTTTTGTCAAAGGCTATGTTTGGCCTATAGCCCTTTGGCCCCCTCGTTTGGAGATGGTATAAAATATGGTTTGACATTGTTTATGAAAATATAATTTCTTGCAGGGCTATAGGCTAAACATGGCTCTTTGGCCCTTTTTCGGTTGGAGATGGCCTGAGGACCTTCTCGAGGCTAAAGGCCCAAGAGAAGAGTAACTAACTCGACCATATTGATTAACAAAGTGTGACCAACTCTGAACAAGCAACATTACAAAGCGCGTACCCGGCCATTTCTAGTAACCCGAGTGAGATGCCTTCTTCCAGTCAACATATATGGGCAAAGTAATAAGGAGATAATCTGCGTTCAATGCAGATGTCAGGATTAAATCCCTATCGGATAGTTCTTCAAACTGAGCTCCATTAAGAAGTTGCATGAAAGAACGCTGGAAACGAGTGGAAACATCAACTCTACAACACAAGAAAATATTGCATAGGATGTCAAAGGCTTCCCATACCATGAATCTGAACAACAAATAAAAGTAAATACAAAACATAAACATAAAACGCGCCTACTTCTTAATGGTTATAGCATCAATCTTTCAATCTTGTCAAACTTTTACCCCAAAATTTTGCTGACCTTGTAGAGCAAAATGGACAACGAAAAACTACCATATTTGTCCTATTTCCCTAATAACAGTTGATTTTATACCATGAAATGAGATAATTAAAGGGTTCTATCTGCTGATACAATTAAAATTGACTGCAATACTTTCTTTGTCAAAAATTACAAGCATATGCATTATATATATCCACATATACTTCTTCAACCCGATTTTAGAGCGCGTATATCAGATTATAAACTGGAAGCACTAACGATTATCCCTCTAACATTGAAGGTTTTCTAAGCTTCTAACTTCTGTTTTATAAGTTTCTAAATGGCAAATTAGTTTATAAAATCATAAAACATTAGTCACTCGGGTTAAAGGGCGTCAAAAGAAGCAAAAAAAATCGTAAAACATTACAAAGTAATCATGTAACCAACTCGACAATTCCTTAGTAACAAGATATGTTGTGACTAAAGCATTTTTAGTCAGTCCATGTGTTTTTTTGGTGACTAGATCAATTAGTCACTCGGGCTAAAGGGTGATGAGTTTAAATCAAAAGAAGCAAATAAGCACAACATGCCCAAGAAACCTAAAAGGATCAGCTACCATGCAGGCACAAGAGAGATGGTCGCACCATTTATGTGCGACCAACAACTACACGCTGTGGAGCTATATCTCACACAGAAAAGACGCGTCATTCAAAATGTATATCCACTGCCCCCTTCTGATACCTCCTCCTAGGCACTAATGAACCTTTCATTTCACATCGAAGATCACCACAAAGGGCATGAGTTTGTGTTATTGTAAAAGCTCATCAAATATATATATATATATATATATATATATATATTTTCAGCAAAGGTACAAACAATATTTCTTCTGAAACTGCTGCATTTTCATCTTTTAAAACTTAGGATGTGTTAGAATCCAGGGCAGCCACTAGTTAGCTCGACCCTTGATCGTTTCCTTCACATCCAAATTTAATAGTCTATTAATGAACAATATTTGACAGCTCAAATATGAGTAAGAATTCATACTCAAAACTTCTTATGGTCGATTCATGAAACTTCATGCTAAGATTGAATCCGGTGATTTTATAGATCACTCTATTAACATTGTCTCTCCAAAAAAATTAAATAAAACTAAGTTAATAGATAATCAACTATAGCAAATAGATAAATGCTCGTTTAATCATTCAACTATTACAAACCTTCTATCTATTTTATATAGTTGATTGACTAAACGACCTTAGTTTTAATTAATATTTTACAAAATGATATTTACATATTAATTTATATCACAACCAATTCTGATCATAAATACAAAATTCTTTAAGTCAGCCACCAAAAATTTCAAATAAGAATTTTTACTTGAATAGTCAAGTATTATTATTTTTTAATTACTTAAGCACTAGATAGTTTAATACACATTGCATGTCCTTCACACACACACACACGCACACGCACATATTTTTTCCACCATAAATTATTATAGTTCAAATATTTTTCTTAGCAAAAGAAGAAAAAAAAAGCATTCTGAGAATATTTGTGTCAGAAAAATTGCATGCACACCACCGTTTTTGGATGCTTGAGATTTTTCCAATCAAGTGCTTATTTGTTTTCCTTATGGACTGAGCAAGGTATATATATTATGGAGCACAAGAACAAAGCAACGTTCATTTTTGCAGAAGGCTGCAAGTGCGCACTTACCTAACCTGCCTCTAATAGAAAAAAGACAAAAAGGGGTTTGTACGTACCGGCAGATAAGCCAAATGAACTAAAATCTTATTAATATCTACATTATAATTAGGATAATATTAGAAAGACTAAATTTGTAAACTAAATGACATGAAAGTTAATGATTGGATTATTATGTGAGCGTTGATAAGCGTGCTCATTCTTATTGGTGACATATCATTTAGTTTGCAAATTTAGTCTTCTTAACGTTACCTTTATTATTAATCAAGTTACGGTAATTGTACCAACATGCATGGCCTAAGCATTCATAGAAACAAAATGGTAAAAACTTGTGTGATTCTAGTTTTGAGTATCAACGAACTAATCCTTGAAGGGATTTCAAGTTTGAATCTAATTCCTGATCATTATATTGATATAAAAAATAAAAAATAAATATTTCCTCTCAAATGTTAATATCAATTAGTTTTACTTGACACACGTAATAATACTTAAATTCTCGATGGAGATGCTAAAGAGTTAATTACGTTCTCATCCTTGAGAAACCACAGGTGAAGAAAAGTATCGGTCGGTCGATAGAAGGAACACCCTGAAGATAAACATCTCTTAATTATTGTGAATGAATCAAATTAGATAGTTTTTATTCTCTCTATCTTTCTTCCTTGGTCCTATGCCACCAAGTGCGAAAATATTGGGAAAAATCAACCACGATGGATTTGATAGCTCAAAAAAGTTTTTAGGATTTGTAATCGAATAGGAGAGAAAACTTACCTACTACGTATACCAACGTTTGTGACATAATGAATGTCTATAATATTGTGACTTAAATTGTACCATTCTTCTTAAGCCTGACGTGATATTAATTTAGTTTACTTCACTTTTAAAATTAAAAACAAAAGAGTAGTGCTATTCTTATCACAATTTTATACCACATTTCTTTACCATTTTAGGTGGCAGATGAGTTGGATAAGCTACATCATTTAATTTCAATCTTTTTATTAATTAAAACAGTTAAATAATCTTAGGTGGAAGAATGAGACTTCTCGTATACCACAATCATCATTTAATTAACAATCTTTTTATTAATTATGATTAACATTTTAAAATTAAATGCTAAATTTAGTTGATGTGGCTGTCCACATCAGATGTCACCTAAGATTGTACAGAATTGTAGTACAAAAATATAGTAAGAATAGTATTATTGAAAGCAACATGAAAAATTGGTAGCCAAATTTTGAATAAATGGCAAAATTTGCAAATAATCAGAAAATTACCACTTGGTTAAAAACCGATCAAAATAATCCCCTCTTACTTGAACACACATATTCCACTATTGATATAGTGATACTCCGCCTGTGACGGAGGAGAAGCCTCCTGAGAATCTAAAAGCAGAGGATCAAAATCCGAAGGCAGCGGCGGTAAAAACAGAGAAAAAGAAAGAGGGGACTGATAATAAACAAGAAGAAAAGCCTAAAGAGGTGGCGAAATCGGAGGAGAAGCCGAAGCCACCAGAAAAGGCGGAGGAGGCTTCAATTGCTACCATGTCCACCAACTTCACCGCCGGAGGTTCATAATCCGCCAATCGCCTACGCTGTGGTGGAGAAGACAAAGCAAATGGAGAAAGAGAAGAACGTGGAGGTGATAAACGGCGGAATCAACGAGCTCGAGCTTCAGCCGTTGGCTCGGAATCGGAACCGGAGCGCGTATGATCTCGTCGATCGTACGCTGTTCCTTTATGTTCGGGCCGTGAAATCCAAGAGAGTAAATGCAGGCCCCACTACAACCGAATCCGTTTACACCAAGCTGGCAATCGGAACACACAACATCAAGACCAAGATGCAGATCGGCAAGACTGGGACCAAGTGTTCGCGTTCGACAATGAAGGATTGAATTCGACGTCTCTGGAAGTTTTTGTGTGGGCGGAGGCTGAGGAGAAGAAGGAAAACGAACCGTCGGTTAAAACAGAGAGCTGCCTTGGGACAGTGTCGTTTGATCTGCAGGAGGTGTCCAAGCGAGTCCCCCCGGATAGTCCCCTGGCTCCTCAATGGTACACTCTGGAGTTCGAGAAGTCAGCGGGGAATGACGTCATGCTGGCGGTGTGGATCGGGACTCAGGCGGACGAGGAGTTTCAGGAGGCGTGGCAGTCGGATTCGGGCGGGTTGATACCCGAGACTCGAGCTAAGGTGTATCTGTCTCCAAAGCTTTGGTATTTGAGATTAACGGTCATCCAAACCCAGGTTCTGCAGCTAGGTTCGGGATCCGAAGCTAAACCCGCAAATGCACAAAATCCCGAACTTTACGTGAAAGTTCAACTGGGCCCACAGCTTTTTAAGACCAGTATAGCCGCCATACGGTCCACGTCATCAAGCTCCAGCAACTCGACTTGGAACGAAGACTTGGTGTTTGTAGTCGCCAAGCCGTTCGAGCCGTTTCTGTTTTTTATCGTTGAGGACGGGATCAGGATCTTCTCCTGAGCTAAGAGTGAGGATCCTCCTGACCAAGCCTATTGGGACATTAAAATTTTATTCAATGACTACAATTGTAACCTTGGATAAAATTTTAACGACCAGATGAGTTTGGTCAGAATGATCATCACCCTTAGCTCAGGAGAGGATCCTGATCCTTGAGGACGTAACCATTGGGCATTCTGTGGGCCATGCCAAGGTACACGTGCTGAGTATTGAGAAGCGGAGTGATGATTGGGCCATGCCAAAGTCCAGGTGGTTCAATATGGTTGGTGATGAGATGTGTCCTTACGCAGGAAGAATACACCTACGAGTGTGTTTAGAAGGCGGGTATCACGTGCTGGATGAGGCGGCCGACGTGACAAGCGACGTTAGAGCGGCGGCAAAGCAGCTGGCGAAATAGCCGATTGGGTTGTTGGAAGTTGGGTTTCGCGGGGCCACGAATTTGCTTTTGGTGATGACCAAAAATGGCGTGCGTGGGACCACCGATACATACGTGGTTGCCAAATACAGGCCGAAGTGGGTCCGGACATGAACTATTCTTGATCGGTTTAATCCACGCTGGAACAAGCAGTACACTTGGGACGTGTACGACCCTTGTACTGTTCTCACGATTGGAGTTTTTTATAACGAAAGGTACAAGCGCGATGAAGCGGGAAAACCCGAGAAGGATATTCGGATCGAGAGGATCCGTGTGAGACTATCCACTTTGAATATGAATCGGGTGTACATGAGCTCATATTCCCTTACGGTGTTGCTTCCTGGTGGAGCCAAGAAAATGGGAGAGATTGAGATAGCCGTTAGATTCTCATGTTCATCGTGGATTTAGTTTGATCCAAGCTTACACGTCACCAATGCTTCCTAGGATGCATTACGTACGCCCACTAGGTCCAGCACAACAAGATATTGTGAGGAACTCGGATATGCGGATTTTCACGGCTCGGCTCGCAAGGTGCAAGCCGCCGTTGGGACAACAGGTGGTTCAGTTCATGTTGGATTCTGGCACTGGAGCATGGAGAGATTTTTCAATGTGATCGATACATGAGATGGTACATCACGTGTCATTATGCAAATGGTGGAATATATGTGTTAAAAAGTTAATAACTTAAAACATAAAATTTCCCACTATTTATATAAAAACATATGATGCACCCTTCGTGTTCCATTCACAATAAAAAATTTCTCACGAGCATGAGGAGAAGCAAGGCCAACTGGTTTCGCGTGGTAGGGTGCCTATCACGTGCAGCTACATTGGCCCTTTGGCTTGATGGAATCTGCACGTGGCTTCATCCTCCGACCACCGTTTTAGTGCACGTACTACTCTTGGCGGTTGTAATTTGTCTGCATTTGGTGTTACCCACTGTATTCATGTATGCCTTCTTCATCCTATTGGTACAGTGGCGGTATCGTCAATTGGGCCCACATAATATGGACCTGAGAATGTCCTACGTCGATGCTGTGAGCCCAGAAGAGTTCGACGGGTTTCCATCCACGCGACCGTCAGATATAATTCGTATCCGATACGATCGACTCCAGACCCTCGGAGGTAGGGCCCAAACGCTTTTGGGTGACGTGGCAGCCCAAGGGGAGCGTTTGGAGGCCCTGTTTAATTGGAGGGATCCAAGGGCCGCGGGAATATTTGTGGTGTTTTGCGTGGTGGCTTCCTTGGTGTCTTACATGGTGCCATTCAAGGCCTTTGTGTTGGGGTCAGGGTTCTGCTACTTGCGCCACCCACGGTTCCGCGACGACATGCCTTCGGTTCCCGCCAACTTTTCCGGCAATTGCCGTCGCTCTCTGACCAGATTATGTAGGGTGATATGGGCCACTCTCTTGGTGAAGTACGTAGCTGCTAGTCAAGCAGCTAGCTGCAAACTGATGATGATTCTTTGTTTTCCTTTTTGTTTTTCATTGGGGTATTTAATATGAACATTATTTTTTTTAATTACTCAATTGGAACTTGAAATAATGCACTCAAAAAGGTGGAAGAATAGTGAAGTGACCGTTGTTGTCTGTGGGCGATTTCATCTAAATTCAAAAGTATACGATCGAGGAAGTGATCGTAGTATAAATCAGCCTTCACAATACTACAAGTTCATGTTGCAAATATGAATCTCACGTCGAGAAAGAGAGACTTTGCATCTGCTCGGCTACTATCCATAGAGTCAATAGGTTTATTGTAAAACCTCTTAACTTTCTTCAGTACAACTACACATCCAATACAGAAAAAAAAATGACTTTAATTAAAGGATAGTCCTTGTCCTTTTTCTCCTTAGCTGGTTAAAGCATTGAAAAACATTAATTTAAAGAGTTTAATTTTTTTGCATTAATTTTGTATGTGGTCTCTGTATGATTTCTATTATTGATTGATATGTATTAAATTTATGAAAATAGAGTTAACGAAGGTTAAGTTTATGGACACGTGTCAATCAATGTTAAAATCTACAGAATGACAACACACAAAATGAATGCAAAAAGATTTGAATTCTAATTTAAACTAATTTTGAACAGGCAAAGTTAAATTATTCAACCAAAAAGTATCGAGTAAACTCTTGTAATAATCAATATTTTTATTGCTTGCTTGTTTATTGTTGCCTAACCCACCAAAGCTCTATATCTTTTTCTTTTGTTGGATATGAACAATAATGAGAGAGGCGGAATTCAAATAAAAAACCCAAGGCAAGAGGGAATGATTTTAACCAACTAAGTTGCTAACCTCTTACCAAACCGTAAACCCTTAATTAAAAATTATCGTGCAATTGGTCTTGAGTCATTCAAGCACAAGTGCATATCATCTATGTGATTTAACTCAAACAATAAGACGTTAAGAATTGTGTTGGAAAAGAAAGAACACAGTAAACAGATAACAATATAATGTGTTCAATTGCTTGTTTAGTGCCCCTTTATGTGGCATGCTTTAGGGTTTACCTTGGCAAAATAGAAAGAGTACCCTTCAAACTAGGCAATAGAAGTGATTCAATCCTTAAGACTTTGAAGCTTGCTAGCTAACTAGCTATTATCATAAAGATGTATAAAAAAATATAAAAATAATAATAATAAAAAAAACCCCAAATTTCGAAAAATCATGTAGAGAACACACAATTACAAGCATGCAATTTATTAATTTTGGTTATAAAAAGAATCATCTGCATTGTTGTTTCTTGAAGTTCCTTGTGGAGAGGAGTTTCATTAACAAAGATTTCAACCTCCTAGACCCGGATCCAGGTCTTAAAACGCCATAGTTTTCACTCTGCAAACTCGAGCATACCTTTTGCGTCTTCCCATTACTCCCAGAACACCATCCCCCGTAAGCAAATTGTCCGCGATGTCGTTTAAGAAGGTCGCGATCAATTTTGTTTAGAACAGGGGCATTTTTCTTGAACTTTCTAGCAAATGGACGGTTGCTCAGAATCATTCTTCTGAGGTCTCTCAGTCCAAGAGACCTCGGATGCTGCTTCGGAGGTGTATCCCATGTAATGAAATGAAGGTCGTGATTGACGGTGGTGTTCTTGTAGTCTTCGGAGTTGCATATTACTGTCTGGAAGTAGCCTTCCGGTGATGAGACAAAGTTAGTGTAGTAGAGGAGGAGAGTCCTTGGCAGATTGTCCCACCCTACGACGCAATACTCGGCAAAAGATCTTGATAAAATTGTCCAAGCTGAACCTGGAGTGAAAGCAAGAGATCAATATAGATTAATAAGTGTATTGTTACTTTTATGGTCATTTTAGTGAAAGTGTTGCTATTCGGACCACATTAATGACCCACATTACCGATCATCTTTTAATAATGTGGTTAGTACATGTAATACAAAAAGCATTATTCATTCAATAAAAGAAATCTCAAATCCATAACCCTAGTCATGGACAGAGGGAGGCAAGGCCCAAGTGGGGGCACATGCCCCCTCTCATCCCCTTTTTTAGCATTACAAATTATTCAATTAATCATTCTCATTTTTTTTCCTTTGCAGATTATTCAATTAATTATATTAAAATAGGGAAAATCATCTTCTAGTTTTTAAATGCGCCTCCATCCTGTATATTTTTCTCATGCACTAATGTCTAAACCTTGTTGAGTTGCATGTATTTGGTTTATTAGTACAAATGAGCATTAGATTGTCAACAACTAAAGACAAAATTAGACAATAGAGTAATAAAATTAGGCATTTTGAATTTAATTTTTTCAGCATTTGTAAAAGAACTAATTTTATTTGTCCAAAAAAGGAGCTCAAATTTTTTAAGGTGCCCCCCTCTTAATTAAATTTCTAACTTTGTCCCTAACGCTAGTGACCCTCCAAACAAATATTTTACAATTTTGAAACATTAGCTAGCATGCAGTGTTCAATAAAAAACTGAGAGTGCGAACCTAATAAAATCGTGCGAACTTAAACTACGTTCATATAAACTTGCAAATTTGCAAGCAATGGATTTATTTATGTGTTTAATAACAAGTGTATATATTGGAAAATACTACTTCAAAGAGTCTATAGAAGCAAGAGAACACGTGCATCCCAAGCGAAAGCAGTTTATAAAAGAGAGGCCTTATCATTTAGATATGTGGTGCATGCAGATTGCAGGTGTCTGTTGTTTGACGTAGCTCTGCTCCCTCTCCAATGCTTATACTCTTTTTAGTTAACCAATGCTTATTACTCGATCTACACCATATTTCCGCATGCAGCAAAAAGTTTCAACCAGATTTAACAAACCCCCCACCCCACCCCTCCAAATAAGGAAAGTGCCATAAACCAGTTTGGCAAACTCGCCAAATTGATCATCTTCCAAATTCCCGAGTGTTGAAATGTTCAGTTTTAAAGTACGTTGCCAAAATCTGGCCGCTATATTATTAATTTGTTATGGTTATTTATTTCTGATTATGTTGGCCAATCTTCATCATAATTTCTTGAATTTTTCGTGTTGCGTTTAAGATGCGTGTAGACAGGTCAGTAGTTTGGTTCAGCCAACAATAGTTAGGCGGAGCGGAGAGAAAAATGCCAAAGCATGTTATTAAGTGATGCATAAACATCATGATAAATACGAACTGCCCACTAAACCTACAAGAAGAAGTGGAAATAAAGAAACGGTGAAAGGGACATTCGAAGTTTCCCCAAATGAAAACGACCGCAATTTACATATAGTCCGTAAATTTGATCATCACCTTCATCTTGTCATGGACTTGTCATGGGTTTCCAACTGGATTGTTCTCCACCTTGTTTTTTCTGTTGACTTTTTGGTAAGTAGTGGACTAACTGGTTTTTTTATTTTATTTTTGTATAACAATATTTTATGTGGACGATAAAGATTTGAGATAAGTAGTTGAAGGATGGTGTTATATACACATTTTTTTTTACCTCACACACATTCTTGTTAATTTTTGTCTCTTGATCTTCTTCAATTCATCCAATTCGACAACAAAAGTTGAGAGATGTGTAGGAGGTAGCACCACCCCTTCCACCATTGGTTTTCAAAATAACTAGTCTCTTTTTACACGCTTACGCGTGTGGCGATTAGCTATTTTTTATTTTATTATTTATTTTTCTGGTTAATAATATATTATTTATTATTTCGTTGTTTTAGTTTTACTTATTTTTGTTGTTATTATTTTTATTAAATATATGTTGAAAGATAATGAACTTAATTGTTGTGGACTTTTTTTAACCTTTTTTTTCATCTTTTTGAAAAGAAAAAAAAAATAGACAATTTGGGTAATATGAAAGTTTCATCATTTTTGCCTTCTTTCTTTATATATATAGCAATGACAAATTAACAAGTTCGTTAAAATTTGATAAATGGTTACCTTGAAAAATATCAAATTTTTTTCTTTGCTAAGGAAATTAAATCTCAATTAGTACGACTAGTTTGCTCATTTAGTTTTAAGATTCTGACATCTAAACTATACACGTCGACTTCCTTTTTCCTAAACTTGAAAAGTACTTATAAGTACTGATCAAGTTCAAAATTTGATTTATAATTTACAAGTAGATGTGAAAATGTGAACCAGTGGACGAAGACAAATGTTATCGACAGAACAGAATGCGTGAACCAATTTCGTACAGACAAAGAAAAATGAAAAATGAAAAATGAAAAAGAAGCACAAAAGTAAACTATCACAACAACAAGACGTGTTATCTTTGGATGCTTGTGCTGTACGGAAGAGATTTTTAGCATGTCAGGACACAGCCCGTTACACAATTGACAACTTGAAAAGAACTTCCATTAATTTTAGAAAGGTTTATCAAAACATTTCCGGTACTATTTATTTTTAACGAAAAATTATATTTATACATTTTCTCAATACTATTCACTATACCTTTAAAAATGGCTTTTCATTAAAAATGAAGTTTTTTTAGACTTTTCGTTAATTTTCCTTTAATTTTATTATGACATTTGGTGCCGTATTCTAAGCACAATGAAAAATTGCTCGCGGGTTAGAAGTTTGCGTGCTACTACAATAGCAATATCCAAAATAAAAGAAGAAAATATATCTATTTGCTAATTTTCTTTTCTAATTTATAATTATTAACTTAATTAATGAAATTAATCATTTTTAATAAGGAAAACTAATGAAAAAGACTAGAAAACTTTGAATTTTAACGATAAGAACAAAATAAAGGGTAAAGTAAATAGTACCAGAATTGACTTTTTAGTGTAAAAATATGAATTTCGTTAAAGTGAACAATACTGGAAGTTTTTCTTTAAAGTTCTTTTTTTAATAAGAAAAAAATTGGGGAGTTGGGGTTGAACCTGTGTAAAGCTTGAAAGCAGTTGGGAGAGCCCTTTGTTTGATGACCCACCACAACTCTGATTTATTCAGGCTGTACAGTCCTGGGTCTATTACCATTGGCTTCCCTCTCTTATTCCTGCAAAATCACTAATTAGTTTTAACAATATAGAGGTATAGAGGGTACTAATTATTATTTTCATCATAGCGATATTCTAATTTAATAGACTTTTTAATCAAAATAATCTATGAGAATTGCATAACTTTTCATTTTGATTCTTAAGATTTGAAATCAATAGAAGTGATTCCAAGATTGTCCACCATCAATCATTTTGGTTATTGGATGAAAAATTATGTTAAGTAAGGACCAAAATGATAAAATTATCCTTAATTTAATAAACAATAGGTCGCCAAAATTGAAGGTATTTTTGTTATTTTATAAAAAAATTTCACATAATGATCAAAATGATTGATTGTGGACAAATTCAGGACCAAAATGAGAAGTTATACAAATCTTATAGAACATTTTGGCTAAAATGCCAATTTAATATAAAGAGCAATAAGTGAAGAGTGGAGAGGAGAAAGCAAACGCACTGTTCTAATCAACTTAATTAACGCAAGAACTAAATGATAAATTAACAAACAAAAAAAACAGAGACTCACAGCTTCCAACCCAAGCGACTTGTGTGATGTATGAAATTGAGATCTCTTGGTAAATCAGAAAAAGCATGTATCAGATCTGAAAACAAATTTTAATAATTATGTAAGAATGCAAGAAATTTAAGTAAGAAAAACCCAACACAAAATATGGATTTAATTGCAGCAAAAACAAAATTAAACAAAAATAAAAAGGCACTCACCATACCATCTTGAGTGATTAAAGGATAATCAGAAGCACTAAGATTGATAAACCAATCCCAATCCCAAGTCCTCAGGAGCAAAGACAATGCATGAAGAGTAGTGGCAAGCATGGTTGGTCCTCTGTAAGTGACCAAATTAGGTTTTCCCAAAACCCAAACATTACCAACTTGCCCAAAAACTGGATCTCCAGCCACAAAGTCAGCAATGTCCCTGTGCTCATCTTCTGGTGCAGCGTAATCCATATGGATTAGATAGTAATTTCCAGGATGGTATAGGGCATACAGCATGCGCTTTAGCTTCGTGGAATCGCCTTTGGATGCAGAGATTAGGTAGGAAAATGTCACCGGATATGGCTTGGTGGTGCTGTTGCTGGATACGGTGGTTAAGTTGAAGTAGTTTATGACTGGCTTGAAGTTGTGGATGGGGATTTTTAACCTAGTTGGGATGTATAGGAGAGAGAAGAGAACTGAAGTTAGGAGGAAAGATATTACATAAACTTTTATGGCCATTGCTGAAGATTTTGGGGATGGAAGAATGTTTACAGAGAGAGAGAGAGAGAAAGAGAGTAGTTAAAATGGTTAAGGAGAGAGAGAGTTCTAATTGTAAAGCCAATGAAGGAGAGCTTAGGAAATGTGTTGGAAGTGAAGTTTGGGTTCCTTGCTTTAAAGTGAAGGCGATTTAGATGTGTCAGTCACTGTATAATTGTTGTTGGGTGGGGGAGATCTTTAAGGTTTTAATTAGTTTTCTTGTGATGCGTTGGTTAATTGCTTAGTTTTTTAGCAATGACAAGAAGTTAATGAAATGAAGATATTTATGACATGAGTACACCATTATCATGGTGTTATGTGGGTATGATACAATGATATATGTAAGTTTTGTTTTCACGTAACATTGTATTATTAGAACAGAACACTATATTAATAGTGTAGTCAATATATTTGTGCTATGTCAATTGTTTTCGATAAAGCACTAAAAGTTTGATAAATGTGTTTTGTTTGACTGTGTAACTCATAATATTTACGTTATGTTTTGGTGAGAGATTTCCAAGTTTCAAGTGATTGAATTTTTCCTTGTTCTATTTTGCAGATTTAGACCTTTAGGTTCGGCTTTAGAGAGATTAGGTTTCATGTCCTCCTCCCCTCTTTTTCTTGTATCTTTGTTGCTTTTGTTTCTACAAGGTTAAGGTTTATGTCCCCCTTTCTTTTCATGTATTTTTATTCTTTTTTCATGTATTATGAGGGGTTAGGTTTATGTCCCCCTTGACTAGGTATACTATTTTTTTTCGATATCAATAAAACTTCTCTCTTTCCGTCAAGGTTTTCTAAAAAAATAAATAATAATAATTGAATTTGAGGCCAAGTTAATGGGGATGAACTACACACTATTATACATGAGAAATTAGAAATGCACTTCATAAACATTAATACAAAATAAGTGAGAAAATTTGGCAAATGACTACTTGAAGTCAGTCATTTACAAATTCATCGCACATGCCTTTGCAAATACTCATGACGGACATTTCCAATTCCCTCTATCCTATTGTTTATGCCAAATTATGGACCAACGAGATAGAGACTAGTGAAACCACACAAACACACAACTTCTTATAGTTCACATGAAATTGGGGTAATCCACATTTAGTTGTTTCTTTTGCTTTCATCATGAGAGCCTTTAAGGGAGCCTTTAAAAGAACAAAACTTGGACTCAACCTCCTTTTGTTTTTTTTTTTTTTTTTCAAATTTTTTTTTACATATTTTTATATTAGGCCCAAAATGGGGCCCAAAAATAAGCGCAAACCGTGTACCAACAAAATATATTGTAGCTCAACTTCACCATAGCATTTCTTGCAAGTAGTTGTAGTTGGCACCTTGAAATTGAACTGCCCCCAAATACTGTTGAAGGGCAACCCTGTAATTATGTTTGCCCCCAAAGTGGTTACAAATCAGTTAGCAGCTGAACCAAACAATTCTCTCTCTCTTTTTAACAGAATAAACAACTTTTTTTCTCCAAAAGAAAAAGAGAAAGAAAATCCGTCCGGAACAAAAAAAGTAGACCAACTGCTTCACGAGAGAAAACACAGGGCCAGCCAGAAGTTGTTTTAATTCTTGCGCAGCACGTCACCATTGCTGACCTGCCTAATAACCCTAATTAGCAATAGTGAGGATCCTCGCCGGATCCTCTTTGTGAGGATTCCGGGATCCTCCAATCACATATGTTCATCGTACATCATGTGATCAAAAATTATTGTAAATTTCTTTATTTAAAATTGAATATAAACAGTACCTGACGAAAATTGACCGCACAATATATGATCAACGAATGTGATTGGAGGATTCTTGGGATCCTCACAAAAAGGATCAGGTGAGGATCCTCACTCAATTAGCAAAACATAAACGCCCACGTGGCAGCTAACCAGCACAGGATGCCAACAGTGACAGTACGTGACCAACAAGTTAATCTGAACTCAAGAAAAATTGTCGTAGTGTAAGACTCGGTCAGTCGTCTTTTTAAATCGAATCTCGGAAATTTCCATCCATTTCATGATTTGTTGAATCTTGGAGGCAAAGAAAGCGACAGTCGAATTGGGAGCCATTGAAATACATAAGTACTTGTACTCTCTCTCTCTCTCTCTCTCTCTCTCTCTATCTACCCCCTACAGATAATTAGAAGAAAGAACAGAGTCCTTGCGGTTGACCTCTTTCCGATATCATTTTCGTCTGTCTTCGTTGGTCTTGATATATCCGGTTCGGTTTCTGTGGATGCAGACGCAAGAACTTAGCAACAATCCAACAGAAACAACCACGGCCGAAGAATTTCTGTGAACACAACCTAGGATTAGTTTAATTCAAAGGCCGGGAATTTTGGTGCGTCTGATTTTGTTGAAACTTGGAGGCAAAGGAAGTGGTAGAAACCATCCCAGAATTTCTGTAAGAAAAAGGACAGGTGAATTCGGAATTTCGACGCGATTAAGGCATACGTGCATCGAGTTATGGCAAGTTTAGAGACCACCACGAACATCCACATGCAAGTTCAAGTCAGACCTTCATCCGTAAACCAAATCAAGGTTCTCTCTCTAACCCAATTCTTGTTTCTTTCTCTGGCTTTCATCTCTGTCACCAATTTTTCTTCTTTCTCACTGCATCTTTCTCTGTAATATAGATTTTGTCGGTTTTCGTTGATCTTCTTGTTCATTGATATATCCAGTTCGTTTTCTGTGGATGCAGACGCAAGAACCTATCGACATTCCAACCGAAACAACCACGGCAGGACAATTCCTCAGGAGGCTCTTTAAACTTCTTTTTTACTTGCACTTGATTTTCATCACCATCTTCGTAATCTTCCTTACGCTCTATGGCCTTATCTTCACCACTCGCACTCGCCATTTCCGACCCCTCGAGTATTACCCTCCATTGCTCACTGCAATTGGGTGTTCTGCAACTGTTGCTTTCATATGGCAGTGGATCACTAGCTCAAGCCCTTCAAAAGCCATCCAGGTAGCCTTCTCGCTCAGCCCTCTGCTAACATGCGCAGTTGGTGTACTACTTATATACATAAGTTCTCGTGTAAGTTTGGCAGCGGGTGTGATTGCCATCGTTTGTGCCCTCATTCAGTCTCTGTATGGCTGTTGGGTCAGTCCCCGTTTTAACTACGCCATTCGAGTTTTATCAGTTTCCACTGCTTTTCCTCCTCCGAAAACTACAATACTAGTCATTCAATCAATTTTCGTCAGCATTCTTTACTTGTGTCTCTTGGTTGCCGGCATTGGAAGAGCCACTGCCATCAGAAGTAGTTGGAAGGCCCTGTTCATCGCAGTAATATTGCTAAGCATGGCATGGACGATGCAGGTAATCAAGAACACGCTGCTAGTTACCATCTCACGAATCAAGTATATGAACTTCGCATTTGGAATAGAGATTGACACACGTGAGGCTTCCCGCGACACCATTAAGCACTTGACTGGGAGTATTTGCATCGGCTCCATCTTGGTTCCGGTTCTTGGGGTTGTTCGCGGCTCAGCCCGAGCCATGAAACTGACTGCAGGGGACACCGACGAGTTTCTGTTTTCGTGTGCCAACTGCTATTCAAGAATGGCTTCGACGCTGGTGATGTACGGGAATCGCTGGGGTTTTGTGCACGTAAGTGCGTATAATAAGGGGTTTGTGCAGGCATCATCAGATACTTGGGAGAAGTTCGAGAACGAAGGACTGAAAGAATTAATCGACTCCGATCTCACCGGATCGTTCTGTTTTCTTTCTGGGGTGGCAGTAGGTGCAATCTGCAGTCTAGTGAGCGGGACCTGGGCTCTTATAATTCACAAAAGCTATGCTACAGAAGTTTCGATATACGCATTCTTCATCGGATATTTCATGGTAAAAACTCAGCTGTAATTATCCTTCCTCAGTAAACTTGGCAATATCAAAACACTAATGTGTTCTAACTTTGGCTTTGATGTATGTGATTCAGTGTCGGGTTGCTATGGCATGGCCGCAAGCATGTGTTTCGTCTTACTACGTGGCGTATTCAGAGGATCCACAGAGCGTTAGATTTGATTCGACCATACCTGCTCGTGTTGAAGAGCTCCAGAGATTCCAAGCATAAGAACCGCAAGCTATCAACAAGTGATCAAGCCTATTGCAGGAGCGGTCGAGTAGGATCCTCTGCGTCCAGTTTTCTAGTCGACTAGTAACAACATACAGTTTTCTGTAAATGATATGTAGTTCTGAACATTCAACACGATAAAGGGCACATAAATCTGACGAAGAACACCATTTCGAAGAGTAAATGAATCAGATGCATTACTGTTACACTTAACGTAAACTCATCGTGGAATTAGCTACAAAAAATTCGAGAAAGCATCATGGCTATAATACAAGTTACTTGCACATACAGCAAATTCAAGGAAGATAAGCGAACCGGTATGGTAATCCTAGATGCCCGCGGCCACCACATTCTGAACACATAATGTTGCCACTTCCCCCGCAACCAACATGGAGCAACTATCGCGTTAGCATATTCTCATTGGCCATATAGTATATACTCCAATGAACCTATAAAACTTTAATATTTGACAATCAAGTGCAAATATTGTTTTCTTTTTCAAATCAACAAATGTACTCAGTTATGAGAAGAGGAGCTAATTACCAAGGCAGCGAACTTTGACAAGAATACCCTGGCTCTCCAGTATTGAATCAACATACAGGCCTGAACCAGAACAAGTGGTGCAAAGGACTGCGCCTTTAGCTTCGGGGATTGTTTCCAATGATTTTCTCAGTCAAAGACATCCCAATAGGCTTCTCGATTCTCCCTTCCGGTACAGACTTATCATAACAAAACAGAGATTCAAGACTAGTTCTTTGTTTTTCCGCATCTCCAGCTGAGCACCCAGCCTACAACATCAAATAAAAGCTGAATAAGATACATACCTATCTAACTCATTGAAATTTTTTATTTCCCTTCGGAATTCATTATCTTATTTCATCATTTTCCGTCAATCACACGACATTCTCACATATACTCATTCAGGATAAGAATTCATCTCAATGCACATTTCATGTAGTTAAAGAACAAAAAAAGACCCCCGAATGAGCTAGATATTATCCTAGGTAAGGCCTCCTTTCAATTAAGGCAGTATAATTTCAACAGTTTTAAACAACATCTTCATCAATTGGAACTTAACGGAGACTTGCAATTTAGGTAAGGCCTCGAAGTTTTCTCAAAAGATAAACTTGGCCTCAGCTTTTGATAAAAAGACAACCCTTTTCATTTACTTCGAATCCCTAACCTCAACATTCCTCACAGAGATAATCTTGGTCACACTCTAAAAATGACCGAAAAACTGAGAAAAGCTTACACGCCATCAAATCAAATCGAAAAACCTCAGTCAAAGCGAGCTCCAAATGCTCGACGAGGTTATGAATCAAACTTATGAAAACATGCACCTCTATTAGTAAATGAACTTCCTTTAATCCATTACCAATTAGAAACAGTTAAAAATCAACTCTTGCTACTCTTGCTACAAATCATTAGCAGAAAATTGGCAAAAAAGATAAGTAACAATTGAAGAAGCATCATTCCCATCAACAACAATTTGTAAGTATCATTTGGTGGAACCACATTTATCAATAGTAAAATTCAACCAACACAGAGGTTATTTACTAAAAAAATTCCCAATTCACAAATACAAATACAAAAATTGATACAGAATCAGCGCATCAAACTAAAAGGTAAAAGCAAATTAAACATAAATAAACAGCTCAAGATATAAATTCCACGAAAAAAATATAATAATACGCAGGAAAAGAGAGAGAGGTGAAGAAACAGAGGCCTACCCCATGTGAAGAAGAAGGAGAAACAGAGCCGTTGGGAGAGATGGCGGCAGTAAATTTGGCGATCGACCCACCACGTCTGAGATGAAACCCTATGAAAATTGTCATGGATATCCAACTTTGTCGAAGAAACAGGGACGACAGTAATCATAGACGCCGTATTTGCAGCAGCAGAAGCAGAACCCATTTGATCAAATTTGAAATCTTTGATATCAACTTTCACATATAGAAATTACAGGGAGAGAAAGACTGAAGAGAATAAAATAATTTGTCACAATTAAATGAGTGAGAAGAAGAAACTTCGGTGTAATCGACGACGACGAACTGGGTTGTGAAACTCTCTTCAGATTAGTTGGTGTCGTCGAATAGTTTTCTTTGGGCTTGAGGTTGTAGATGGGTGAGGTTTACATGCTTCGGTTCAAGAAGAGTTGCTCTTTGGGTCAAGCTCGACCCAATAAGTAGAGGATCCGAACCACACTCGTTTGAAACGGGTCGTGTTTGATTATTTTGGAATGGATATTTCTTTCCAATTTCAAGTACATTAAGGTAGGTCTTACAATTTCTTGCATGAAATCTATACAAAACAATATGAGAAAATGAAAGATTTGGGGATATCTCAACAAGTGGGTGGTTATTGGGTCGTCGGGTCATGTTTAGACATTAAAAATCTATTTGGTAAGACAACATCTTTACCATGTCTGGACATTATGCATGCTAATTTCTTACATAACCTGCTACCTAGACACGAAAATGATAAATGGGTTTAAATTTCAAAAAACAATTAATAAGAACGACACACCATAAATATGTTTATGAATGTATATAGACATGAAAAAAAATAAAAATAAAAGAGGTGAAAGTTATCCAATTCTTTTTTTTTTTGGTACAGGGAAGGGCAAAGCCCGAAAGTTTTCCAATTCAATAGTCTTTGAATATAAAAGTTATCTAATTCAATATATTAAACCAGCCATATGTTAAGAAATGGCTAGCTTTTCAAATTTAGGAAATAAGATCTCTACTTGTGTTTTTTGGATTTCCCAACGAAATTATACCCTTTTGCCTTTTGGTATGAATAGTTCAGGGATGTTCTTATTTGGACAAATCAAATGTGAAAAGTGGTGTAAAGAAGGCAAGAATATAGTGTATGTGATAGATCTATTTTCCTTCTATATTTTGTACTTTTACTTTACTATCCAAAATAAATTAAATACTGTCATTTTGAGCTGAAGATCAAAATTGGAGTATATTTTATAAAAAATAAATTAAACGAAGATGCTGACAAATAAATATGTTAGCATAGAAAATGGAACTAACACAAGATTAAATATAATAAACTGCCTACGCAGAATGCAGTTTGCTGTTTTTGTCTGTATTTTTGGCTACTTTTCATGTTCTTGTTTGTTTTTCTTCACTGGTTTAGTTAGCTACATTGCCCACACTAAATCAAAGTTTTAGGTCAAGAAAGCAGAAAATACGTACACTCAGCAAAAAAACACCTTTCATATGTCTGGTGAGAAACATTGAAACTTCATTCATCTTCATTTTTTGAAACGGATATTTACAGGAACCATAAAGATCGATCCGCTACCAAAAGAACTAGAACAAAAACAAAAAAACAAAATGGATTCTTTCGTGCTAACACTGCAGATCAGTGACCACCAAAATGGAATCCTTCAGCTTTTTGATCATCTTGTTCAACTTTTCCTTAACTGCCACGGCTGGAGACTCCTCCAGCATCCTTTCAATTCCGCCACCGTGCGGTCCCATCAGCTCAGTCACAATTTCCATTTCCAAATCCTTGTTCACAAGGTTGGCAACGGTTAATTTCAAATGCAAGGCCATGCAGTCAACTAAACTTGTCAAAACCACCTCCCAATACGCAGTCATCCGCATTTTCAGGTCATACGCCGCCGAAAGAGCGTTCGAATTCTTCCTAAGAGCTTCAACTTCAACCTCCCCTATGCCCTCTATAGTTATCTTAGCTGGGCGGTTTTTGTCTTTTAAGACTCCGTTAACGAAAGCGTCATGCTGACCTATCAATCTATTCCATTCAGAGAGGTACTCCGGATTACATGTATAATCAGTAACTTTCTCCATTTCAAATATCTCCGTCATCCAAGTAATCGACCTTTCTTTCATCTTCGACATAAGATTCTGGCCTGCTCGTTTGGCGGACAGCTGAAGCTGATAATAATTTTCTGAATGTCGCATTAACACTGAAACAACAACATCCTCTATATAACTCCAGATCTTCTCCACAAACCCAAGAGGAATGCTTGAAATTCTGTTCACTCTGCTCTCCAACACAGTGATAAAACATTATGAGGAAGAAAGTTCGGAAGACTAATCCGCTTCGTTTCCTCCAAAACATTAATCTCTTCCATTAGAAAGTTTCTCTTTGAGTCACTTTGAGCACACTTGTGTAGCTCATCTGGGTATTGATTGAGCATGTCGACCATTCGCACAGTGAAATGCATGTGGCGATCATCAGAATCAAATTCTCCTCTTAGAAGAATTTTCCTGAGTGATTCTTCTGCCGATCCAATGATCTGCATGAAAGCTGTCATATCTTCAGCAACGGATGTCAGACTCTTAGGCATATTGTTGAGCTCTGCGAGGCTGGAATTCAACTTCTCGTTGATTTTCTATACTATCTCTGGTAAATTTCTTGCTATGTTATTAACCTGAATCTGCACCAACCTTTGTGCTAAAACTGGAATAACCATAGATTTGTCGATATTAGATAGAAGAGGATGAGATTGAAATAATTCCTGAGTAATGGCCCCTGCCTCTTCGTATGTTTCATCACCAATGCGTTTCCTCAAGCAGACATAACCTCGCCCAATATTGACATCGTCTCCTGTTACCTTCTTAAGCAATCCTTCCGGTGCCTTATCGACCTTCATCACTACCGCCAGAGTCCTTTCACCGGTCTTGTCAACACTAGCAGACAGGACATTAAGAATTATACTCTCCTCAGGCTTGATATATTGCATCATCATATCCTTGATTTGATCATAAATATTTTTAGGCTGACCCTGAACTGGGACTCTAGTGATCCCAGGAAGATCGACCATCGTCAAATCAGGAACGCCATTCTTTTTAACCAGCAATGTCAATGGGTGTTGAAATTCAGTTCAAAAAACGTTTGTATATTTCATTGTAAGTTAGTATTACAAGTGAGGGTTCTTATAGAGAGGCCGAGCTAGGTAAAAAACCCATTGAACAATTACAACCAGCTACAAGAAAGAAACCAAAAGATAAAAAAGCTAGCCCTAGTTACAAGTTACAAGAAATCTAGAACTAAGATACTAGAAGACATAAACCCTAGAATTAAGGGATTGGAACAAAAGCAAGTTGGTAACAAAAGTGACCGTTTAGTAGCAGCTGCAACTCTACCCAAGAATGAGGGCTAGAGTTGCAGTTGCAACTTGAAATTTGATGAGCTGTGATGTGCCTTGTACACCTTCCACATAGACCCAACGAAACTATAGCATGCTCATAATCGGTCAGTTTCAATATCCCCCTCAAGCTGGATCAAGAGGGGTAATTGATCCAAGCTTGCTCAGTAATCTTTGGAAATGAGTAGAGTTGAAAGTTTTGTGAACAAGTCAGCAAGTTGATCGTAACTTCGAGTGTTCACTGTGTTGATGACTTTGGATTGGACTTGAGCAGGAATGTAATGACAATCAACCTTAATATGCTTTGTTCTTTCATAAAAAACTGGGTTTAAATCTATGTGCATGGCAACCTCATCACTTCATCGCGTAATCACCATTTGTTTTTTTACTCTTCCATGTCACAAGATTACCACCAACAAATGTACAGAAACTAATGGTAGACTTGCGATTGAGGGAATTACCTGCCCAGTCAACATCTGTGTATGCCATAATGTGATTTGAGCCATGTTTCTTCATGAGCAAGCCTCTACCAATTGGCCCCTTCAAGTATCGTAGTATCCTTTTGAAAATCTCCCAGTGAATCAGTGTGAGAGAGTGCATAAATTGGCTAACAAGGCTTACTGAATAAGCAATATCAGGTCGTGTAATTGTAAGGTAGATCAGCTTTCCTACCATACGTTGCTAGACACTAGGTTTTGACAGTGGTTCACTTTGGACATCTAATTGAAGTTTGCTCACAAGAGGGGTAAGTGCTGGCTTGCAATCCAACATGTGAGCTTCATCCAATAGATCAAGTACATATCTTCTTTAATTTAAGAACAAACCCTTGGAGGATGTGGCCATTTCAATGACAAGAAAGTACTTTAAGACTCCCAAATCCTTAAGAACAAATTGTTGATGAAGAGAGGATTTGAGGGCACTGATTTCTTCTATGTTATCTCCCGTTATAATAAGATCATCAACGTATATAAGGACAATGAGCTTACCACTTGTACCATTGCGAACAAACAATGAAGAATCGGCATGACTCATCTGGAACCTTGCAGCTTCAAGAACTGAGCTCAACTTCGAGTACCAAGTTAGGGGGGATTGCTTGAGTCCATATATAGCCTTGTGAAGCTTGCAAACTTTGTTAGTTTCATTCTCTTGTGGATGTTCAAGAGAGCTTCATGTATACCTCTTCTTCAAGTTCACCATGGAGGAATGCATTCTTCACATCCATTTGAAATAGAGACCAATCATGATTAACTGATACAGACAACAGTACTCGTACCGTGCTCATTTTGGCTACAAGAGCAAATGTCTCCTTGTGGTCAATGCCATAAGTTTATGTGAAACCAGGGGCTACTAATCGAGCCTTATGTCTTTCAATATTGCCATTTGGATGGAACTTTGTCTTGTATATCCACGTACTCTCTAATGCCCTTTTTCCCTTTGGAAGATCAACCACACTCCATGTTTGGTTGTCATTCAGTGCTTTAAGCTCTTCTTTCATTGCTTCCTGCCACACTTGAATGTGAGCAGCTTCATTAAAGTTCCTTGGTTCAACATTATTGGACAATTGATTGAGAAATGCTGCATAAGATGTTGATAGTTTTTGATAGGTTAAAGCTTTGGAGATGGGATGTCTTGCATTGTACATAATGTACTCTTGCAGCCTGAATGGAGGATGCCTATATCGAGTAGGGTTTCTTTGTGGTGCCAAAGCAGGTTGTGGACTGTGGAGCAGTGACTGAGCTTTCTTGATCAGGAGATATTTACTCACCATCATGTTGCTCCGAGTGATGTTTGAGATGAACATTTTAAGGATTGCATTCATGTAGATTTGCTGGGGTAGGCAAAGGAAATATGTCCATAAGGCTCTCCCCTTGAGGTTTTTCACTGCAACCTTTGTGAAAAAATAGAGCACGCTCATCAAATCGAACATCTCTTGAGACTCAAATCTTTCCATTATGTGGATTGTATATTTATATCCTTTTTGAGAGCTTAAGTATCCTATAGACACACTTTTGACAGCTTTAGGTTCAAGCTTATCTCGATGTGCAGCTTGAACATGAACATAAAAAGTGCACCTAAAGGTTCCGAGGTGTAAGATGTCAATATTCT